CTGCGTGGTAAAAAAAATTCTTGAAAACCAGAGAAACATCAATATTTTAAAAGCTGACAGAAGGGAGTTAAGAAAAAAGAACATTTGGAAACATAGGTTGATGAGAACATCTGATGATAACAAGATCCTTGCAAAAACAGAAGTCATAATACAAATGAAAGCAGTAGTCATTGGCAGGAAAAGGAAATCTTCCTTGGAAGGACAAAAGGAACAATGTTTGTGGAATTCAAGGATGTTCGTACATGAGATAACAGGAGCCTGATGCATTTGTTATTAAACTTCCCATTCTCTTTGGGAAGTAAGAGATACATGAGTAATGAGGTGGAAGATTTGGAGACCTGAACAAAGGAAAGGATTGGAGCCGATACCAGAGAATACCAGAGAAAGTTCTGGTTGACAAACAGAATAATTTCAGAACACTATTAAAGGTCCTAATTGAGGTCAGAGACCACAAATATCTAAGAGCTCAAATTTGGTTTACTGTATGATGTTCTCCAGCAGTGCTCTGCAGGCTGGGGGTAGGAGTGGAGATGGCTGACCATCAGCGAGATTTCACCAGGGTTGGCATTTTATCAGACTAGAAGAATAACAGGATAAAGAAGTAAAGGACTAAATATACCAATTGGTGAGTATTTTAAGACATGAACTGATGAGGCAAGGAAGTAAAGAAAAATAGGAATGCCAGAATGAGAAACAGTAGATATGTCAGGATTTGAAGTGTCTTTAAGTTTCAAATGAAATATAATTGAATTAACAAAACGAGGGAACTAAACGTATCAGAAATGTGGTCAAGAGGGTCAGATGATAAAATTTCAGGTTTCAGAATTAAAAACAAATATGAAATGGTGTAACCAAGCAAAGTTTTCCCATTCGAATTATAAGCATTTTAACATTCATGTGCTTTGGTCCTCATAGCTGATGTACTCTCAAGGATAGATGACACAGTACAGAGATGAACAGGATGTTCTGAGATCTCAGACACACCTGGTATGAATGCTGGCTTTGCCACTAGCTGTGTGATCTTGGGAGAAGTCAACCTCTGGAATTGTTTTCCTCATCTGCAGTTGGGGATAGTGGTGGTTTCCACCTCACATGATTTCAATAAGAAGTCAATTAAACCATCATATTAAGCTTAAGATATAAAGTAAGCACTTAATAAATATTAGCTTTATTATCATTTTATTCTTTGTATTCTAAAGACTGATTTCTAAATACAGATTTCTAAGTCCCCAACTTAGGATGGTTTGACTTACTATTTTTCAACTTTACGATGGTGCAAAAGTGATACGCATTCAGTAGAAACTGTACTTCAAGTTTTTCATTTCAATCTTTTCCTGGGCTAGCTATATATGGTAAGATACTCTCTCATGAGGCAGCAAGTCATAGCTTCCTGTCAACTATGCAATCACAAGGATAAACAACCAATACTCTTCAGAGTACTCATTGTGTTGGATGATTTTGACCAACTGAGCATGTTTAAGGTAGGCTAGAGTAAGCCATGATGTTCGGTAAGTTAGGTGTATTAAATGCATTTTCAACTTACAATGTTTTCACTTTGCAACCCCATCATAAGTAGATGAACATCTGTACTTTCTCTCTATGCCATTCTTTTAAATCATGGTAGCATCTTAATGATTTTTATTGATTGAAAGAGGAAATTTTGGAATGTAGTAGAGATCATTACAAATTAAACAAAACTATCTCTAGTCTAGGGGAATAACATGGCAGAAAAATAAAACCTTTATTAGTATGAGAAGTTATCCAGGCAATTGCTTCCATAATTTTGTAGTATTTTCTTATTCTTTGCAAAAATAAAATATAGAGAAAATTTTCATAGTAACGCCACTCTGAAGAATTTTCTTTTCAAGATTCAGAATTTCAATTAAGCTGCAATGAGTAGATGGACAAGCTTATGGCAGATTCATCTCTGCTAATCACAGGCTCTACAGTATTTATTCTGACACAATAGAAGCCACTGTGATATAATGGGCAAACAAACTATAAGGGCTGATCCAAAAAAGATTGATCTTTCACTCACCTAATGTATTCCATACCCAAAATAGATTACAGCTTTCTAATTATTTAGACAACATGATCTAATAAAACACTAAGATTATCCTGATTAAAAACAAGCATTATCCCAAAAAGAAACCCCATACGCTTCAGCAGTTACCTCCAGCCCTAGGAAACCATCAATCTGCTTTCTGTCTCAATAGACTGGCCTATTTTGGACATTTCATATTAATGGGATTATATAATGGGTGGGCTTTTATGATTATGGCACTAGTTACGCAACTCTGAAAATACACTAAAAACCATTGAATTGTGCACTTTAAATGGCAAACTTTATGGTATGTAAATTGTCTCAATAAAGCTGTTTTTAAAAATTAAGCAGTTTGTAGAGAAACACAGTGGACAATTTAGACAAAAGTAAAACTGCTGCAAATCAAAAGAAAAGGAAAATCTGCTTGGCCTAGAGAGGGTATCACTTTCTCCCTCTCCTTGTCCTCACCCTACCCCATCATAAATGCACTCCTCACAGTCCCCAAGAGCAACCTAACTTCATCAAAAACAAAACAAAACAAAACAAAACAAAATTAAAAAAAAACTGTCACTATGGACTGAACAAAGTAAAAGTCAAAATCGCTATACTTTCAGATTTGGGGGCTTTAGCAGGAGATATTTAAGGGGCCTCAAGGACAACATCAAGCATACCGACATTCACATCAGAGGGGTGCCAAAAGTAGGAGAGCAGGAATAGAAAACTTACTGAAGAAACAATGATGGAAAACTTCCCTAACCGGGCAAAGGGAATGGACATTCAAGCCCAAAAAGTGCAGAGTCCCAAACATGTTGAACCCAAAGAGGCCCACACAAAGAAAAATTATAATTAGAATGGCAAAGGTTAAAGACAAAGAGAGAATCTTAAAAGCAGCAAGAGAAAGGCAAAGTAACTTATAAGGGAGCTCCCATAAGATTTCCAGCTGATTTCTCAACAGAAACTTGGCAGGCCAGAGGGATTGGCACAAAATGTTCAATGTGATGAAAAGCAAAGGCCTACAACCAAGATTACGAGTTAATCTTGTAAAGCTATCATTTAGATTCAAAGGACAGATAAAGAGCTTCCCAGACAAGAAAAAACTAAAGGAGTTCATCACCAAACCACTATTATAAGCAATGTTAGAGGGACTTCTTTAAGATGAAAAATAAATAAAAGATTGAAAATATGAATAATAAAATGGCAATAACTACAAGTATCAACAATTACTTTCAATGCAAATGGAGTAAATACTCCAACCAAAAGGATATAGTCAATAATATTGTAATATCTATGTATGAATTTGGATGGATACTAGATTATTGGGGTGATATATGGGAGGGGGCTTGGGGGAAAGGGTAAAAAAGGTGAAAGGATTAACAAATACAAATTGGTAGTTACAAAATACTCTTGGGGATTAAAGTAAAGCATAGGGAATATAGTTAATAATATGTTATTAACTATGTATAATGTCAGGTGGGTACTAGTCAGGAGGATCACTTCTTAAATTATATAAATGTCTAACCACTACACTGTACACTTGAAATTAATATAAAATAATATTGAATGTCAACTGTAACTGAAAAATTTAATATAGTGGGAAGTATAGAAGAATAAGATGTTCAAATTTCCACGTATAAAACAAAGAAGTCTTGGGGATGTATTTTACAGCATAGAGAATACAATCAATAATATTGTGCTAGCATGGTACAGTGTCAGATGGTTGCTGGACTTATCATGGTGTTCACTCATTTAGGTGTATAAATGTTGAATCACTATGGTGTACACTTGAAACTAATATAATATTATATATTAGTTATATTTTAATAATATTCTTTTTTTTTAAAGTAAAAAAGAAAAAATAGCAGATGTTTTGTAAACAGTAGCTCTTACTATATTAGATGGATAGATGCATCAGATGTGCCTAGAAAAAAAAAGGCTCCTAGAAAAAAAAGGCTCCACTTCAGGTCTTCATTATTTTTTCATTCAATAGACATGCATTGAGTGTCTGCATGCATTGGGCTCTGAGGTAGGCACCAGAAGACAGCACTAACAGAGATAATATGATACTAATATAGAATTATATAAATAATATCATAGAACAATAGCTAATATATACTGAATGCATATCATATACTGGTACTGTAACACAGTATCTCCATTCCCAGCTAAGCCTGCAATTTTAACAAACGTACTACAATGCTTTTCTCGAAGGAAACAAAACCATAGATAAAGCATCTTCAGTGGCCCACCAGAGCCTTTTCAGAGCCAGATCCAGTAACAGCAATGAAAAAAAGAGAAATAACAGCCTCTGGCAAACTTTCCCTTCCATTTGAACACTCCAATTGTGCATTAATTGCTCAGAAATACAATCTTAATAAAAGGTATGAGAAGGTTTTTACTATTCCTACATCATCCTTTGAAAATAATTGAAAGTTACAATGATTTTAAGATTGGACTCCCTTCAGAATAATACAGGCAAACCAACAGGTTAAAAAAAACAGAGGAAGAAACATTATATTCCCTTTCAACAGGCCTATTAAGTATTTCTTTAGAATAAAATATCTCATTAAAAAGGACACACTGTCCTTTTATACACCAACTTACTCATCTAATCATCTAATTGGTTGAGTGTCCTCAAAAAGGATGCAAATACTATTTGATTTACTAGTTAAGTTGGCTTATGGAAATTACTACTTAGCATGATTGCCTCTGGATAAAGAACAAACAGGTTGGGGCGGGGAAATCTATTTAATGAGATCGTTTCAGCTTTCTGGAGTGAGACTATCAAAAGCATGTCTAGATTACAAAATTATACCACTGAGCAAATATTCTATAAAGTATTTCAACTATCATAAAAATAATAGTAACTCTTTTGGTTTTTTAAATAACAGACCCTTATAGGCTCTATAAAGCTTACAATAATGTTAGTACAATAATGTTAGTAGTTTATGTCACTTACCTGTTTCAAATGCTTCTGTATTTTAGACTCTACATCTTCAATGTGTGAAATGATTTTGTTGACACATGGTGCTGGGATGTTTACTAATGCACAGCTGTGACGTCGACATGGGTAGCTAAAGTAAATGCCTTTATTCACCCCTAAGTGGATAGAGGAAGTTAGTTGTCAGTTATATACAGTGTAAGTGTAGTAAGATTGATGTTCAGAATATGCAAAAATATTCAGCTTTATTAATACTAATACTCAAAGATTTTTAACAAACAGGTTGATAAATAATCACAATTACAGAATAAATCTTCTAAAAATTTCAAACCTAAAGTAATCATTTATGACTTAAAATGTAACAAATAAAAATGAAACTAAAAAGCAAAAACAAAACTTCGAAGTTAAAAAGTTCAAGTGTTCCATAACATCACGAGCCATTGTGGAAAAAAAGTGAAGAAAAAAGGGAGAAAACATATTAATACATTTGTTTCTAAATAGATCCTGAATCACTTATAAAATGAGTTTGACACATATTTTAAATTCTCCTTTCAAAGAGATTCCACATTTTCCACTGTAAATAATATCCAACCACCCATGCATTGAAGGAGTTGTTGCTTAAATCCATTGTGAGTTTCTCTTGCTAAGAACATAAAAGCAGGTCCCCTTCATCCTCATAATAACCTCATTTTCTACCTTCCATTTCCGAAAATTGGAGTCTCATATGAAGAGTGATTGATGTCCTCACAACAGCATTCAAGTGGTACTCATCAGAAAATCCACTCAGTCTGATGTGCCTCAGTGATTCAAATCCTGGCATGTCCGAATCAACTGAAGGTTGCAGGAGCACAGCAAAGCTGTCCACGAAACTCCACCAAAGTGTTTACTGACAGTCCTTCTGCCTCTAAGGACACTGTCCAGCTGGGTTATAGCTGCAATCACTGATCTTATGCCAGGCACAAAATAGGCTCGGTGCCTCAGTGAGAGCAGTGTGATGTCTTCATTTTGGTTGACCTTGAGAACTAGAATTAATGCTGTTCCCTCCAGATTGTGCCTTTTGTTTCAAGGCCAATCCACAGAGGTGGTAAAAAACTTTAGATACTTTCATTTAAACTGCAATCTTTTAAATGAAGTCCCATGATCTCCTCCTCCAAAAACACAGTCTCTGTGAAAAGGGTATATCTATTTCATTTATAAATCAGGATTTACTTTATCGCATATATAAGAATGTGTGTGTGTGTGTGTGTGTGTGTATTCTAACATTTTTGAGCACCAAATCATATGCCAAACATGGGACTATGCTGAGTACCCTTGATGACACATTTTATTGGACCCTCACAACAATCTTATGAAGTGTGATTATTATTTTCATTTCATAGATGAGGATACCGAGGCTTAGGAAAGTTATATAAGGTGTCCAATTCCATAAACCTGGTAGGTGGGAGAGCTGGCACTTGAACTATATCTCCCTGGTCATGGAGTGTATGCTATACTCTAAAGACTGTTTTTATATTTTTTAAAATGTGGCAAAATAAAGAGAAGGAGTCCTCAAAGTGTATTTCAGTGCATTTCAGGTGTTTCACCTATGACGTGTTTTTCAATTTTGAATATTCCTTCAAGATATCAGTGTTAATATTCTGAAGCATTTTAGTTTGCTTTGACTATATGAGCACAAATATTTGCTATGACTATTTTGTGTATGTCACCTATATTCTATCTTTCCTCTTTAGTGTGTGTGTGTGTGTGTGTGTGTGTGTGTTCATCTCTGCAATAGTCAAAGGACCAAGAACAAGCTGGTGAAAATTACGTATTGATCTCCTACGCAAGTATCTTGATAAGGGCATGTTGCCCTTCCTCTAAAAATAGGGTTTTAATATACATTTAACAGCCAGGCAGTTGTCCTTGTACTTAAAACATTTGTTTTGCTTCGTTAAATGTGGGGAAAACAGGGATAGTAATGACTCATTTAATATTTTTCTGCATGTTCCACTTTCATCCTATTACGTGAATACTAATGAATTTCCATAGCACCCTTATGGTTTAGGATTAACATTTCACATATGGGAAACTGGGGGAAATGAAACACTATGAAGTTAAATTTTACACTAAAAGTCTGTAATGACATCATAAGCAGTACAAGCTAGAACCAGAATTCCTAAGCTCTTATTACTATTTTTATTCTAACATATGCATGGTATAAATTAATACTTTACTTTTCATTTCTTTTTCATTTTACCCCTCTTCAAGAGACACCTAGATCACTGAATTAGGTGTCTACGTTCATTCGTTTTTTTGACTTGACTGATAAGTAACTGTGCTTCCTAAGCTAAAACTATTCAGTCGCTAACCTCAGATTTCTCAATAAATGAATGGGTCAGTGGGGCATTATATAAATCTTTTTCATCTAAAATTCCATGATACAATAAATTAATGGGTTTAGTCAGATATAAATTGATAGAGCTCCTCCTAGTCAGACCCATGCACAAGTGGTCAGGGTGAGTATTTAAAGAATTAAGCTCAGACAGGATTCTCATCTGCTCTAAGCATCTGCCCAACTCCAACTCTCTTGCTCAGAATCAATGTATAAGAGGGAAGATCCTCCTGGACTTAGGTCAGAGCTGAGGTTTGTTGAGACTCTGCAACATGAAACTTTCATTTGAGGAAAAATATGGACTTGCTGATTATGTTGGCAAATGAAATAAAAACATTATGTTCATAATCAACTCTCCTTGCTCAGTAATTTAATCCTTACATAACTTATTCACCCAGCTCCAATTATTTAACATGTATTTGAAATTTTAGAATGATAAAACTAAAATTCTATCAGTGGATATGGGGCAAGGGGTAGAGTGATATTGACTACAAAGGGCATGAATGAACTTTCCGGAAAGATGGAAGATTCTATATCCTCTTTAAGAGAATGGTTAAATGGATGTATACATTTGTCAAAAGTCATTGACTTGTATTCTTGAAATGAATAGACTTTTATATACTTAAATTTTACCTCCATAAACTTGTTTTATGAAAAGACCACTAACCATACCTTAGGGACAGAATTCAACAACCTCCTATCATTGTCCTTCTCTTTAAACTCTTTATGATACAGAACATAGTAGGCAATACTTCCTTGGGATGTTATTTAATAGCTTTCTCGCACTTCTGCATTGCCTATTTCTCCACATAGACCTTAATCATGACTCAGTAAGAAATACTTTTCTCTCTTATTCATCTCCTCTAAGTGCTTAACTTTCAACTCAACATCTTTAGACAGAACTTTACCCTGAACTCCTTGCCAAAATGTACAAATCGTCCAGAGTATACCCTTCCTAGAGCCTGGCCCTAGCACTGACTGTAGAAAATGGAAGTTTGGAACCTGCAAGGTCCTTTGTAGGATGGTAGGACAAGAGGTAAAGTTAGGAGGTACCCGTTGAGAAGCTGATATGTCCCACACAAGGAAATAAAGAAATTTCTAACACCAGTAAACTAATGTGCCAAAGCCACAGAAGCTACAGAATACAGAGGAAAGGAACACATTCCTATCATTAGACATAGAGCTGGAAAAGATAAAAGAGACAGACAGACAGAGCACCAGGATGAGAGGGATCTGATAGAGTCCAGGCAGTGAGGATGGTGCCTGACCCAGAATGGTTAATCAGGAACTACTTGGTATATAAAGGAATGGCGAGACAGTAAAGATATATCAACATAAAACTTTTGGTTACAGGCCTGCCTCCAGTCTACTTGGTATTAAACATTTAGACTGTATCAAGGCCAACAAGCCAAAGGTGGTCTTCAAGAGAGACACCCATCTGCAAAGCCAGTTTTTCTAAAACTAAACTCATTTTCATTCCACTCAACCTCCTTTCCTTTATTCTCTGTACCCATTATCAAAGTACGCAACAGTTAAATCATTGTTGAATCCTCTTTTCATTCAAGTTCCTATATCAATATATTACCAAATCTTAACAATTCCTTTGTAATGTCTCTTTAACTCCTATCTTTCATAGCCATTGATCCTTCATAGATCAAGCCTTTATTACCTTAAGCCTGGACTATAATGATAAGGTAATCAGTCTCCATACTTCCCCCTGCAGCCAAATAATTCTGCATAGCAGACTCATATTTCCAAGCAATGGATTTGGCTCTATAATATCTACACACAAACACGCGCGCACGTGTGCGCGTGCACACACACACACATACACACACACACACACACACAACCAGAGACTGAGAAATAAAGTTCATACTCTTGAGTTTGAAATTTGAAGTGTTTATTGACTGCACCTTAATCATTTCTTGCTTAATTTTAACCAATTATATTTACATTTCTGAATCTTCTCTATGCTATAATTATCTATTTGTTTTTCATATTTTGTGCTATTTCATCCCTGTTATTTGACTCGTTCTGTTCTTCTTGCTTAAATACCCTTCTCACTTTTCATATACAAATGCATCCTTTAAGATTCACTTCAAATATGTCTTTATCCATTAACAGTTCTCCTAATCCTTAGAGACCATAAATATTGGTGTTACTCAAAACAGTGAAGGTATATCTTGCCCATACCATTCATTTGTCATGTATTACTGTGATATTGAGATTTATTATAAGTAATATAACATATATTTCTCCTTTGTCCTGTTTTTGACACAGAGCTCCTGAAATCCTTCAAATTTCCCAATTGATGAGAACAATAAAGGTGGCCTTCACTTTGTTAATGAGGTGACTTTTGGACCCCACCTGGGCATAAGGACTGGTCGTCAGGAATGCCAACCACATGATTGGAGAATTAGAACTTTCAGTCCCATCCCCAACCTCAGAGGAGGGGAGAAGGGCTGGAAGTTGGGTCAATCATCCTATGTAATAAGGTCTCCATAAAAACTCAAAAGGACAGGGTTTGAAGAACTTCCATGTTGTTGAACATATGGAGATTTGAAGAGAGTGGCAAGCTCTGAGAGGGCATGGAAGCTTTGTGCCCTTTCCTCATACCTTGCCCTATGCATCTCTTTCATCTGGCTGTTCCTGAGTTATATCCTTTTGTAATAAACTGGTAATCTAGAAAGTAAAATGTCTCTTTGAGTTCTATAAGCCACTGTAGCAAATTAATTAAAACCAAGGTGGAGGTGGGGGGTATTTATTAAAACCTCTAATCTATAGCTGGGCTTTCCACTGGCATCTGAAGTGGGGACAGGGGCACACTTGTAGAACTGAGCCCTTAACCTGTGGGATCCAATGCCATCTCCAGGTAGATGGTGTCAGAACTGAGCTGAATTGAAGCACACCAGTTGGTGTCCAAGAAGTGCTTGGAAACCCTATGCCCACACATCAGAACTGAGCACAGAATCTTTTAACTACCTTTTGTCATCTCATTACTCTATATAATCACTGTTCTCTAATTAGTGTATAGTTATATTTTTTTGGCCTAAAGGTTATATACTCCATTTCTCAAACATATCTGTACCCTAGAAGCACATGTACATTCCAGTGTTTTGAATTTATTGCTTCATAAATCAACCATTTGATATTTTTAAAAATTCCTCCAAAACTATGACTCATAATTTACTATGGGCAATAAACTCTAACCCAGGGTATTAAAATTCTATTCAACATTTCTACTGGACAGAAATAAAGAATCAGAATGGCAACTTAACCCAATTTTATCCTGTCAAACTAAATATCTCCAGAGCAGAAGTTTACCAAAATCAAGATTTAAATTTTTGATGCAAAGTTCTCCACCAGAATGATCTAAGAAATAAGTATGAACCTCTATACATGAAATGTATACATTTCGTCATCTCTTTCTACCTCTTTCCACATATAATATCAAAAACACTTTCAGAGATAATGTTTTCTGTATTCTCAGTGAACAATTTTGAATTCTGGATTTCAAACCCCTGAAACATTAGTCCTTTTTCTTCTAAGAGACCATTTGAACTGAAAATGTTCCAGCAACTCCCAGTCCTGGCATGCACAATAAAGAAAATGTTTATTTTAAAAATTCATACATTTGTGAAATTATAAATAATTCTTAGGAACAAGACTGTAATCAATATATTATTAATAAAATATGTTACAGTATTGTATTCTTAATATATATCATTACTTTGTTAACTATAAATTTATATTTGTTTATTTCTTAATAAAAACATAATAGTGACATCACAAACTAATGAGTGAATATAAATATAGTTTACATAGGTTACTATAAAATTTAAATTCAGTCCTCACCTTCAGTATTGGTCATTTTATTTTCATGAAAAATCTCAACAGCATCCTTAGGGGCACCAAATGGAACCAAAGCTTGTGATGTGGCATTGTCTTTTAAAAAGAAAACAAAAATTTCTGTGAGCAGCTAATAAGCAAAAATAGGCAATGTACAAAATTATATTGTAAAAGTGTTGTCCTTGAAAAAGCAGCTATAATAGTACTAATATCAACCAAAATCCACAGTACAGTATCTTTAGATCAGCAGTTCTCAACCTTCCTAATGCCACAACCCCTTAATACAGTTCCTCAGTTGTGGTGACCCCCAACCATAAAATTATTTTCGTTGCTACTCTATAACTGTAATTTTGCTACTGTTATGAATCGTAATGTAAATATCTTTTTGTTTTCCGATGGTTAGGCGACCCCTGTGAAAGGGTCATTTGACCCCCAAAGGGGCTGCGACCCACAGGTTGAGAACCACTGCTTTAGATGTTTTCTGTTATTTAATTGGCTTAAGTCTCAAAAAAAAAAGGCATTCAAAATAGCATGCAGCTCTTAAGAGCAAACACAGATCACCCACAGTGACATCACCAAAATGGTAAAGTAGGAGACCCCAGCCTCCATCCCCCAACAAAGATCAACAATTAAACAGCTATCCACAAACAAAACTAGCTATGGGAAAGCGCAGAAATCCACTTAAGAACCTCAGCCACACTGCAGAACAAAAAACCTGAGAATAAGTGCACAGAAAGGGAAGGAAGACAGCTTCATTTTGCCTGCATCATCCTCCCTGCCCCGGCAGACACTGCTCAGTTAGAAGAGGGCACGCTCCAGCTTGAAATAGTTTCCCTCACTGGGAAAGTGTAAACAACCAGCTTCCCTACCCTTTTGGGCACTGCACCAAGGAACCACTTCAGTTTCACCCCAGCCAGGGAACAGCAAAGCTGAGAAGTAAAGAGATGGCTTGAACAGGAAAGAATGGCTGAGGTTACTAATATCAGTCATGAAGTACAAGTAACCGTGGCTCCCAGTGCCCTGCTCTGCAGAGAACCCCAGCAACTTGGCTGGCAAGGCTGTCCTTTAGATATGAAGGAAAAGAATTTGCCAGGCAAACAAGAGCTGAGGGAGTTCATCATGACTACACCTGTCTTACAAGAAATGCTAAAAGGAGCTCTTTGAGCTGAAATGAAAGGACAATAGTTAATAACATGAAAACACATGAAAAGATAAAACACACCAGTAAAGAATATAGTAAAATTCAGAATACTCAATACTCTAATATGGTGGAGTGTTAATCACCAACTCTAGTATAAAGATTAAAGGACATAAATACTAAAATAGCTATAGCTGCAATAATTTATTAATGGATATACAATATAAAATATGTAAATTATGACATCAAAAACAAAATGTGAAGGAAGGGGGAATAAAAGGGTAGAGATTTTCTATGTGATTGAAGTTAAAGTTAAGTTGTTATAGCTTAAAATAAACTTATAGCTATAAAATGATTCATGTAACCCTTAAGGTAACCACAAAGCAAAAACCTATAGTAGACACACACACACACACACACACACACACACACACACACACACACAAAGAGGAATCAGAGTATACCAATATGAAAAATCATCAACTCACAAAGGAAGACAGCAAGAGAGAAATAAATCAAAAATAGGCAGAAAGCAATCAACAAGATAGCATTAAGTCTTTACCTATCAATAATCATTTTAAATATGAATAGATTAAATTCTCCAATCAAAAGACCCAGGGAGGCTGAATGGATTTTAAGAAAAAAGAAAGAAAACAAAACAAAAAAACCCAAAACGACCCATCTATGACTACTACAAGACACTCATTTCAACTTCAAGGGCTCAAAGTGAAAGGATGGGAAAAGATATCAGGCAAATGGAAACCAAAAGAGATCAGAAGTAGCTATACTTATATCAGACAAAACAATCCCATTTACAATAGCATGAAAAGGGTAAAATATTTAAGAATAAATTTAACCAAGAAAGTGAAAGATCTATACACCAAAAACTATAAGACATTGATAAAAGTAATTGAAGAACACAAATACCATATTTTCCCATGTATAAGATGAAAGCTTTTTTGAAAAATTTGGGGTCTAAAAACTGGGTGTGTCTTATACAGTGGTTGTAGATTTCAAATGCCATAGTTTGAACTGAGGACGAGGCAATATATGAAGACAGTGATTTGTCTTTAGACACATATGAGGACGAGCTAATCGTTGGGAGTTTTGACAGTGATGAAGAGTTGTATGAATTTTATGATGAATAAAACTTGAGTTCAATAACTTTATGTAATACATTTTTTTTCAAATTTCGGGCCCCAAAATTAAGGTGCATCTTATACATGGGAGCGTCTTATACATGGGGAAATATGGTAAATGGAAATATCCCATGTTCATGGGTGACAAGAGTAAATATTGTTAAAATATCCATTGAATTCAATTTTTATCAAAATTTCAATAGTATGTCTCACAGAAATAGAAAAAAATCTTAAAATTGTTATGAACCACAAAAAATAGCCAAAGCAACCTTGAGAAAGGAGAACAAAGCTAGGGTCATCACACTTCCTTATTTCAAACTATGGTTCTGGCATGAAAACAGGCACATAGATCAATGGAACAGAACTGAAAGCCCAATATGACCAATTAATATTTGACAAGAGAGCCAAGGATACTCAATGGGAAAAGAATAGTCTCTTCAAAAAATGGTATTGGACTTCTGGTAAGATGGCAGAAGGATCACACCAAAATTCAAATAATTTATAAGATATTCAAGCTTGGAATTCCCTGGACACTAGATGAACAGAACCTCTAAACGAAGGACTTAAAGAGGAGGCCACGTGGAGTCTGGTGGGGGGGCAGAGATGAGAGAGGGCGAACCCCGTGAGGGACCCCTCAGTGGTGGGGAGGCTTCTCCTGTTGGGGGAGAGACCATCCAGCCCCACACCGCGCTCACCAGCCCAGAGTTACTTTGCCGGGAAGAGGAGTTCTACAATAGCTGGAAGTAGAAAATAGTGAGGACTCTCTTTGCTCAACTCGGTGAGGCTGAGGGCAGCTGGAGAACCAGGGGAGCCGGCAAACTGACTCGCTCACTGGTGAGCATTCACCCGGTTCCTGGTGGAGGGGGTAGCTTTGTAAGCAGGGCCCAGGAGCCTCCGGGAAAGACTGACTGAGTGCCTTTGGCGCGGGAGCTGGAGGTTTTTGGGACCATTGTTCTCCTGCTGTGGAGCTTGCACACGAGTAGTGCACAGGAGGGTACCATTTTTTCAGGGCTGGGCCCTCCCACAGAGGCTTAGTTCTGGGACTGCATTGGTCTGCTAGAATTGGCGCAGGACTGCATGCGCGTGTGTGCGTGCGTGCGCATGCAGCCTTGGATCTCCACCCTCCACACTGCTTGTGCTGCATAGCCAGGGAAACGTCTGGCAGGTGTGCTCCAACTCCAACAGACTGTTTATTGAGACCCAGGAGTGCGCAACTCGTCTTAGGTCCCTGATTTCTGCACTGTGCATGCAGAGTTGCCTGGGTGGCATTGGCTGTTGGGCTGCTTGGCCTGATCTGCGAGCAGCTGATTGGAACAGGCTGAGACAGGGAGTTTTCCTGGGAGTGTAGGGCCGTAAGCTGTGTGCCTGCGTGATGCAGCCAGGGCTTTCCTGGCAAGTTTGTGTGGGCTGGCTGCCAATGCAGGAGTGCATGCTGCTCTGACTTGGTGGGGGCCACTGACCACACCCTGTGGTGCCTTGGGGGCCTGCCGCGCCCACCTAGAGCTGTGTTGTCAGGGGCACCCTGAGCCCTTGCCCCCTGGCCCCTACCTCCGCAGGCCACAGAGAGTTTTTTGCAGCAGCAGACAGCATGCAACAACCTGTGAGGATTTTTGGTGGTGAGCACAGTTCCAGAGCACACAGCAACTAACTGTGGGAAGCTCACTTCAAGTCTAGAGGGAGGTCAGTGCATGATGTACTGAGCCCTTCTCCCCAACATCTGGTGCTGAGTTGCCCAGAGTCTCTCTATTGCTGAGCAAGTGGTCTGCAGATTAAAGTGGGCAGAGAGCCCCTCCCCACCTTTTTTTTCTTTTTCTTCTTTTTTTCCTTTTTCCTTTTTTCCCCCCTTTTTCTCTTTTTTATTTTTCTTTTTTTCTTTTTTTTTTCTTTCTAGGTGATCTAATACATCAAAGCAATCAGAGTGACAGCCAGAATGAAGAAACAAAGAAACATGTCCCAAGTAAAATATCAAAAGAAACCTCAAGAAATGGAACTAAATGAAACAGAGGAATACAACCTTTCAGAGACAGAGTTTAGAACACTGATAATAAGAATGTTTAGGGACATAAAAAGGATACAGAAATCATAAAAAACACCAGTTAGAACTAAGGAATACAATAACTGAAATGAAGAACACACTCGAAGGAATCACCAGTAGATGAGATGAAACAGAGGATCAGATCAGTGATTTAGAAGACAAAATAGCAGAAATCACCCAGTTGGAACAACAAAAAGAAAAAAGAATAAAAAACAATGAAATAGTTTAAGAGACCTGTGGGACAACATCAAGCCCAACAACATTCAAATCATAGGAATACCAGAAGGAGAAGATAAGAAGCAGGGGATCGAGAATGTATTTGAAGAAATAATGACTGAGAACTTCCCTACCCTGGTGAAGGAAATCGACATACAAGCCCAGGAAGTGCAGAGAGTTTCAAACAAGCAGAACCCAAACAGGTCTACACCAAGACACATCATAGTAAAAATGGCAAAGGTTAAAGAAAAAGACAGGATCCTGAAAGCAGCAAGAGAAAGACAGCAGGTTACATACAAAGGAACTCCTATAAGACTAACAACTGACTTTTCCACACAAACTCTGCAAGACAGAATGGAGTGGCAGGAAATATTCAAAGTGACACAAAATAAAGTCCTACAACCAAGATTACTCTACCCAGCATGGCTATCACTTAAAATTGAAGGAGAGATAAAAAGCTTCTCAGAAAAGAATAAGCTTAAGGAATTCATTACCACCAAGCCAGCATTGCTTTTTTAAACAGAAGAAAGGGGAAAACAAGCTAACCCATGAAGATCAGAAATACAAATAACAAAATGGCAATAAATATGTACCTAACAATAATCACTTTAAATGTGAATGGATTAAATGCTGCAATCAAAAGACATAGAGTGGCTGAGCGGATAAGAAAATAAGACCCATGCATATGCTGTTTACAAGAGACTCATCTCAGATCAAAATATGCACACAGACTGAGAGTAAAGGGATGGAATAAGATATTTCACACAAAAGAAAATGAGAAAAAAGCAGGAGTAGCAATACTTATTTCAGAAAAATAGACTTTAAAATGAAGACTACAATAAAAGACAAAGAAGAACACTACATAATAATAAAAGGATCGATTCAACAAGAGGACATATCCCTAGTAAACATCTATGCACCCAACATAGGAGCTCCTAAATATGTAAGATGGGTTTTGACAGACATAAAGACAGAGAACAACAGCAACACTATTGTAGTAGGAGACTTCAACACCCCGTTGTCACCAATGAACAGATCTTCCAGACAGAAAATCAACACGGAAACAGTAGCCTTAAATGACACTTTAGACCAGCTGGATTTAATTGATATTTTTAGAGCATTTCACCCCAAAGCAACAGAATATACGTTCTTTTCAAGTGCACATGGAACATTGTCCTAGCACATGCTAGGACACAAAACCAGTCTCAATAAATTTAAGATTAAAATCATATCAAGCATCTTCTCCCACAACAATGCTATGAAACTAGAAGTCAATTATAAGAAGAAATCTGGAAAGCACACAAATACATGGAGGCTCAATAACATGCTACTAAATAGTGAGTGGGTTAAAACTGAGATAAAGGACGAAATCAAAAGCTATCTCAAGGCAAACGACAATGAAAACACAACAACTCAAAATCTATGGGATGCAGTGAAAGCAGTCCTAAGTGGAAAATTCATA